CAGTTATATGGGGAACTAGTTCCGCTATCATCGGTGGTCCCATGAAAAAAATGACTAAATAACAAATATAATATACTAGTATACTATATGAAATACTAATAAATATTGACTAAAAATGACTAACTTACCTTGGAAATATAGTAGTCAAAGCTACAAGCATTATCAAAGGATGATGGTGGAAGAAAAAGGGCTTATGAGCGGCTTATAAGGTCAAGTCAATGCCTGAGAAAGCAGCTTCGTCTATAAAAAAAACTTCAAGTGAATGAAAAGTTTCAGAGAACCAGCGAAACTTGCAAAAAATTAAATTCATTGAGGGGAGTTGGGACCTGGAGGAGAAGGGGGGGGGGAGCGGAAGTAACATCATTATTACTGAATGAATTGATTCCAATATCTTTCTTTATGAAAATTAAGGCTAAGAGTGAAAATGGTTCTCAAAAGGATCGTACAAGAAATTACGAGCAAGTTAGTAGTTCCAAAACAAGTCTTTCTGCAATATTATCATTAATAACCTAATGTTTTATTTTGCAAAAAAAATGTCTGGATAAAAATTTTTGCACTAAAAATTATCCAAACAATTTGATCAGCATAATTTATTATTACTGATTTAAGCACAATATTATTCTTTTGAAAAATTTCTGACTTCAAAGTATCACCACAGTTGGGTCAGCATAACTTATTATTTCTAATTCCCAGCATATTTGCGATGGCAAATTTTACAAAAAAATCTTTGTGCCATAGTTTGTGTCCAGGTATTCAAACATTTACTAGGTAAATTCCAGTACTTACTTTGATCGTCAGGTTATAGATGATACAGTAAAATTTACCTATTGTAGATCAAAAAATTAGAGTCATTGATGAAAGATGCGCAGTTTGTAAAGTTGCACCTTTCCAGTGCTAAAAAAATGCGAAAATTGTGAGAAGCTTCTCAAATAATGCATTTATAGCTTTCACATTTTCAACCGAGAGTTTAGCGCCCGTGATTGGTGCCAAAAGGCCTTGACACGCTTGAGGATATAGTGAAGTTAGCCATCCATAACACTCACTATGCAAAGCCAAATGCATTCAAAACGTCAACGACGATTGCGCATCGTTGCGTTTCAATAGCCAGCGGTCGTGGGAAAATCACAACAACCTTGAGTTGCGCGCACTGTGTTCAATTGCACTAAAAATGGGAAGGTGAATATGTTCGTGGACAAGTCGTGAGAATGTATGTATTTGCACAATTTACACATTTCCTATCAGAAAAAATAAGCTCGCATATTTTAGTTGTTTTCGTTAATTTCTTTTATCTTGCACATATTTGGACTTGCAAGACTTCCGCAGGGCAAATGAGATTTGCAGCACTTCCGCAAACTTTTGTTTATTATTGCAAAAGTGAATACATAGAAAACGAATACTTTGGCGCGAATTGTATGTCATTTTTTTGAACGGAAACTGGGACACTTTCTCATGCAAAATGCTGCGGAAGTTCCGCAATTGACCCAGCTATACTTTTCAAGAAATTCCGTCGACTGGCTAGAAATTTAGTTTCTGTCTGCTAAGCGCGACCAGACTATTTTCACTGAACCGTAGGTAATCCCCATATAAGAACATGCACTCATTGTCAATGTCATTTTAGTGCAATTGCACTCATTCTCAAAAAAAAACTTTCAATCATCGCGAGCATCTATTGCGCTGCTTCAAAAAGGATTATAAGTCGCTGCTGCTTGAGCAGTTGGAAGAGCTATCTCATTTTTCTCATAGTTATAATAGTGATAAAATACAATATTACGGTAGCGTCAATTGACATTAACAAAAATAAAGAAACTTTCTTGTGCGATAACTGTTTTTGAGTGATTTTATGAAGATTGACACATGAAACAGAATGAAAACGCCAAAAATTGTAAAGGATGTAACATTTAAAATCTATATAGTTTTTATTTTGAAAAAAAGGAGTGATTCTTAGCAGTGTAGACAGCCGCTCCGTCCGCGCGCGCTTAGATGTCTGCGTCTCTTCAACCCACGTCATCTCTTCACTCAAAGGCGTCACATACGCCCGCTGCAGTGTACGCAGATTGTGCGTTGTCTGCGAACAGTGTTATACCAAATGTTTCTTCTATCACTTCTTGCCCCTCATATTTCTTTGAAAAACGATATTTTTGCTAAATATACATCATTATTGAAGATGCTGTGGGCTAACAAAAATGTCAAAAATAATGTACATGATGCTTCGAATAATTTATGCGATTACCTTAGGAAAAAACGACTAAAAAAGAAAAATTATGATTGGCACCATAGCATGCAAGCTTTAGCCGCATGAAGAAAATTGCAGTAAACACTGTCTTAAAAACGAGTTTGCCAATGGACGAGTTTCCAACGTGAGGACCGGTATTTTATAAACTTCAAAAAGAACGTCAGAGACTTCATTTTACTACCAGTTTCAAGGACAACATTGATGGACGTTTTGGATGTAAAAAGCTGCACTTTATGAGTCTACTGTAAGTCTGGATTAGTCATTCATGGCAAGAGTAAAACATGAAAAAATTGACTGCAATTATTTTTGTGAAAGTGTGAGACTTGCAAGGTGTAAGCCTGCAGTGCTTATATGTTCGCTTACCTTATTGCTTCACCATAGATATACGACAATGATGGTCCAAAAGATTTTTTCAAGGAAAGCAAACGAGAAGAAGGCACAAGTATTTTGCGAACGAAAGCGCTTGGGGGTAGCCACCCTCCAGAAAGCTTGGGATATTTTTCAAGTTTCGCTAGCCCCCATAACCTCCACAAAAAACTAAGAATATGTTTTACAAGACTTTAGAAATTTTAAAGTTTTAAAAATTATCATAACAATTTGCAGCAAAAAACAAGTCCTCTGCGCAGTATTATGAATACTAAAATGAGCTACTTACAAACGTCGTCCCTTTCGGTGTGCGACTGGTCGCTAACTGCTTCCCGCAAAATTTCTGAGCCTGAGACCGTAAAAAATGAAAAAAGAGAAGAGACATAAACTTTTTTTGTAGTAATCGGCAAACTATTATATGTGAGGGCTATGAGACTACAGAATGCCCGAGCTAAAATGTGATTGCGGGAGTTCCTTAAATATTCCCCACTCCCTTCTGTGTCCTCGGATTCCCTTCTCAAGCTATAGGTTTTGGAAGAGAAACCTTCAAATAACTTGAGGTATGAAGAAAAAAGTCAAAGAGCGGGTAAGGGACTATATGTCGCCGCAAGGAGGTGGTCCACGACATCTGCGACGGACCACGCGGTCATGCTATTACAGACACTGTAGATCTGTACCAGCTGTCCGCACAGGGGAGGGGGGCCATATATAGTTCCCTACCCCAATAGAGCTATTTTGAACTTTTGTTGATCAGCATCAGAAATTATTTTGATACTGACTGCCGAAAAAAACTTTTGTCGGTGTACGGTACGCATAGTTTAATCAAAAATATCCTCATAATTTAAAATGGCCTAAAAAAATACTATGGATGATCCAGCATGATCATTTACGAACATAATTATTGCATGCTGACGACCTCCTCGTGTATTACTGTAGTTATATTGTAAGCCTATAAAATTATGCTGTGCAAAAATAATTTGATTTCAAAGGACATGCTTGAACACCGGTAGCCTGAGCTAATTGTCGTTAAAAAGTGGATTTGTTTCTGCAGAACTGGGACACCACGGCTTATCCCAAGAAACCGAGAGATTACAACCGGGGAAGAAACCACAAAAAAACCCCCATGGACAAAGTCAATTATCAGATGAGCAGGAATGAATAACGACTGATTAAGCAAGTCCAATAGACTTAGGTTGATCTAGGATTCATCAAAATTGAAATTTGGGCTTAAAAGAAGTTTTACGATGTATAGCTAATAAAAAAACCGCTACGCAAACACGAAACTCTATTTTATCGCAGCGTGGTCGAAGTCATGACCAACGTTTCACTGTGTAAATACTTCTATGAGAGAACGAGAGGGTAGGGAGATGGTGTGACACTGAACGTTCTTACGCGGTGGGTTCCGTCGCACTGTGGCGGTCATTTGGAAATGATTGATGCGTACAAGAAAGGACAAAAGGGCACTGATATGATGTCATATTGCTAAAAGGATTTCTTTGATGGTAGAAGAGAAATGCTACAAAAAAGATGGAAGATGAAAAAAGGTTTAGACACGAATGTGTTTTTCGGTTACCTAAAAGTAGCAAGTGCAGTAATGAAAAAAATTCTCTAACTCAGGCAAGTTGCTGGAGATATTTTATGCTTAACTTTAGCTTCAGTTTGCTCTAGCGCAACACAATTTCAAATACCGCCAAAATCTCTCGCAATCGCACGATATCGCAAGCATAATATCTGCACCTATTTTACAAATTTCGTTCTTTTCGTTCACTGCTAAACTCGTATGATCATCGGCGAGAGAACTAAGCTCAAGAAAAATACTTTTAGAAGCAACTCAGAATTTTGAGCTAGTAACTTTTGCTTGCGTGCGGTCGCGGCGCGACTCGAGCTCGCGCGAGTAAGTATGGACACTTGTGCTGACAAATTTCACGCTTCACGCAAGAAGGGCTGCTTTGGGATTCTGTACTGTGTGAAAGAGGAGTGAAGGAGGAGAAGAAAGAGTAGGAAAACATGAAGAAAAAATTTATTGTCAAAAAAAATTTTCTGTTTATTTTTGCCTTCACGGTTTTTGCCTTCCTTTGCGGTAACGGTATATGTAAGAAAGTTTTGCAAATTTTAATTGCTTCGTAGTATATTCTTCCGTTAAATGTTATGTTATGGTGTGATTGCACCACAAAATGGATTTTGAATGACAGCGGTAAAATCTGACGATTGAACTATAAACAGAAGACAATCTAAGAATTGCAAAAAAAGAGAAAACATTCCAACGCAGAGGGTCAAAAGGAAGGCATCAAAGTGTCAGAAGAGAAATCAGTTTCATGCGCGATTACATGCAAATGTAGACAATTAAGTTTTGTTAGCTTAATCGCGTAAGTACACACAGCACACCGTACATTGCGCCCACCTGCAATTTATCCAAATCTTCAATTTCCTTCGTCAAATCGATAGCACTGTCCAAATCGTCATTTTCAGGCTCTTCTTCGGCAATAGTTACACATTCGGTTCGATGCCCGGCATCCGTCGTCATCGTGTGGACGACGTTCGAGCGCACAAAAAACACCTATAAAACCTTTGATAGGTTTCGGGCGCGACGCGAAATTGCACAAATATGGCGACGGCGGAAGAGAATCGAAAAAGGACAAAGGACAAGAATACGAGCCCGGAAATTAGGGTCAAGACAAAACGATAGCGCAGTAAGAAGAGAAAAATATTATTTCCTCCCCCCCCCCCCTCCCCCCCCGCCATAGTACGCAGCATTGACAAAATAGGATTAACGTACAAGATAAGAGATATGTTTCCACAACTGCTACGCACAAACACGGAAGGACAATGAGGAGACACTGGGAAAAAAAATCGATTGTGTATTTGCACAACAAACATCCTCTCAAGTCTCAATAATCAACAAAAGTACATAGAAAGGAGGAAGATCGAAGAAATCGCCTAATTAATGGGTCTAACCCGTTTTTCTTATCTGCTTGCCACCCACCCCCCTCCCTCAGTGGAAGTACACCTGAGCCAATTGCTCGTCTGAAGACGTATTTATCCCAACGCACCCAATAAATCTTGCTATTGGTGCGTAGTGTGTAAGTGCACACGGTACGCTGCTCATTTGACGGATTGACTGAGAAAATGTTGAAATATACATAAATCACCGTGAAACAGATAGGAAAAACTAAAAAGAAAAAACACTAAGAAAAAAGTGGAGGAGAACATTTGAAAAATGAGGTACAAATTACTGAGCGATTTGTTGCGCGATGTCCTAGAGAAAGAAAAAATTTCATTCGAGAAAGCGGCTCAGTGACCTGTTCGTGACGAACTGTGATTGGTTGAGAAACAACTTAGGCTCGCGCACCGCCCATCAACCGAAATTCCCGTTATTACGAACGGAATTTTGATTATGTTTCTTTTCAAATTTCGGAATTCCTTTACTCGGAATTATTACATGCGAACTTTTGCTTTCTTTTCCCAAAATTGAAAATTCTGCATTTAAAGCTTCATTTCAATTTTCTCAATCGTACTTTGCATCATTTTCCGTACCCCTAGTTCCTTCACTGCAAGTTTAAAAGTACGGAAATATTCTTGAATGGTCAAAAAAACCTTTTCAAAGTACAAAGTGAAAACCAATAAATCTCATGAGGAAAGTATAGATTGTGGAAAACATTTTGTAAGGATAAGAAACAAAAAACTTCAGAACGAAAATCCAAAGTTCAAGTAGCACTAAACCAAAAATTCTTTGCATTAATTCTTCAAACCAGGAAAATGCAAGTAAACATAAAACACAAAACTTCCACTTTTCAAACGTCCACTTTTGTGAAAAAAATTTTAATTGAGAAAAATCTGAAAGAAAATAAGAACGAATTTTCACTCAATTTATGAAAAAATGGCCTGAGTTGAAGAATTTACTGGAAAAGACGACTGAGGGGTTCTAGATGAACAAATAATGAATGTGTGAGAAGCATCGCCCAAGATTGTTTCAGCTTGAAAACAAAGTCATCAATATTTGAATCAAAGCCCCACTCATCACACTTTTCGCAGCCAAAGCATGTGAGAGAAGAGGAACATATGTTTCGAAGCAGGGGAGGGGAAAAGAGAAAAAATTAAAATATCGGCTGGAAAGAAAATGTGGAAAAAAATTTGAAGAAAACATCTTTTGGATATGGCAAGTGCAGTATGTCGCAGATCTGTGATTTGGTTTTTTGGTTTATATAAGTGAAAAACTTGGTTACTTCTTAGAAAAATTTCACCACGCACAAAAAACTAAAGGACTTAACTAAAGAGAGAGAAATTTTGCCAAAAACTGAATATAATCCCTTTCGTTATGGCAAAAGTATTTATACTAGTGAACCAGTAATCTAAAGGTACTATTTGTAAGAGCATTCGCTCCGGGACACGCTGCGGTTTCATTATTTGAAGATTTTTAAATTGAGCTCGATTCTTTTATATATTAGGTGCCAGATATTTGAAAAAAAAACTTTGTTTTATATGAGTGACAGAAATTTTATACCTTCTTATTTTATACCTTTTACTTTTAGAACTCTGGAGAACTCCAACCTAGTTTTATCTCAAAAAATGTTCATACTTTCTTGATATTTTCATTGATCACAAAAGATTGCTGAAATTTGAAAAAAAGTTTTATTTTACCCATAACAATGATCGTGCATACCAAGAAAATTTCTTACAATCTTAGAGACTAGAAATTTCCATTTTTTGATCAATTCATGCTATAAATAAAAAATTTAGGGATGATAACCTACACAAAGAAAATTTCACAATATTAAAATGTCCGTGGACTTCAAATTCTTGATTTATTCATACCACAAACAAAAATTAGGAAATTTTCGAAGAAAAAAACAGCTGAAGGAAAAGTAGCTGCGTCAAATTCAATCTAAATTTGATGGTGAATTATAAAAATTAAAATAAATGTTTCTTAAGTGCTCAGAAAAAAACTTGAAAAAATCTTGAGATCAAGTGCTGGGCAAGGATGCACGGACCCAACGATTATCGGGATCAAATAGATAGACAGGTTTGATAGGCTAGACTGACATATTGTGTCACGAGGCATTGGCAAGTTATGAGTGACGAAAAACAATTGGCAGAAAAAAAACTGGTATTTTTTACGATTGCTCGGGCTTCACAATATCTGGGTAAAAAACGAGGAAAATCAGAAAAAAATCACCCAAAAAATTTGGCAAAAATCCAAGAAAAATCAGGAAGTTTCTGAGCCGATCAAATGATCGTGGAGTTGGTCACTTGTACTAAACAGCATTCGGAATTAAACTCAGATGCTTCAAGACAAATCACATGTCATGGGCGATCGATAGGCTCTTACGGATCACATAACACCCAGACACAACATTGTGAGGGATAGCATGAAAACTGAGCCCAGACACTACAAACAAAATAAAAACTCGAACAAATATCTTTTAGTAAAGAAATTCCCTCGAATAGCGACATTCTAGGGCATAAATCCACGTTATTTTATGATTTAGGTTGTTTTTCTTAGTGTAAATAATGATGTAGATAGCATCAAATTTTTACGATCATTGTAAATTAGGCAAGAAAGTAAGGTTTACTTGGTAAATTCAGAACTCGAAAAAGAAATTTTGTATAGTCGATTTGCTGACCTCATACGCTGTTTTGAAGCGAATACAAAACGAATTGCCTCCATGCGGGATTGAACCGCAGACCTTCTGTTTACGAGACAGACGCTCTGCCACTGAGCTATAGAGGCGCACTTTACTCTCTCCTTAACGTTATTTACCATAGAGGGCGCACGGATTCGGAAAGCGCATATATTAATTATTTGACAAGGTTCATCTTTTCATAGATTCGGTGTAAAATGTAATAACACATTTGCTGCGCGATTTTGTTGACTAGATCAAGTTGCCTGACGAGAATAAATTAGAAAAGAAGTAGAATGATAAAGAAAATGACAGAAATGGACTTAGAAGGTATTCTACCTAGCAAATACCTTAAGATAAGAGTACAATTGTTATCGATAACATTTTGCATAGTGCACGGATGTTATCTGGCAAATGCGAATCGGTTTAGAGCTTCTTCCTCCTGCAAGAGTGTGATTTATGATAAAAATGAGAAAATGCACCCGTGGGAATATTTAGCGAGATGGGGCAGTGTGAAAAATCTGCGCATATGTTTCGAAAAGATAAGAGATAACTCTACTTTAGGCCACATCTGGATTTGAATGAGTAAAAGAACCTTGCAGAAAACAAATGGTATGGATTAACAGATGATTAGAAAATCTATGTAGTATGGAAATGTGCTATAATAATATCAGGAGAAATTGAAGAAAAATTTGAGAAAGTAAGAGAAGAAGATTTTGGTGGAGAGAGTTCAAACGAGTCAATCTGTAGTGTGAATAAAAATTATGATAGTCAAAAAAGATGATTAGCCTAACCATTAAAGGAATGAATCGGAAATGTAACTTCATTTTTTTCGGAGCTGCATAACCTCCCAGATTACGTACAGTTTTCCCACTGCTTAGTTGAACCGCTCAAATAATTATTGGAAAAAGGTGCTCCAACGATGTTATGAGAAATTTACGAGGAAAGGTAAGAAAACGCGTAAAAAATTGCTTGAAGACAGCGTTCAGGCAAATCTGGGCTTATAGAAATCTCACTTGGAGGGTAATCTTGGAGCCCTAAGTAAAGCGCTGCCCAAGCGGCAGCTCAAATGGTGAGCTCACAGTTGAGATATTCGCCTCCAAACTGGACCCCGGAATCGTATTCGCATGGATTCATGGCGTGACACATCAGTCTCGCGCGGGGACCCACGCGTGTCGCGCCATGAATCATGCGAATACGATCCCGGGGTCCAGTTTGGAGGCGAATACCTCAACCATGAGTTCACCATATGAGCTGCGATTGGGCAGTAACTTAGTTAGGGCCCCTAAATTACTTTCCACATCAGATCCCCGTATGTCCAGATTTGCCTGGACGCTGCCTTTGAAGAGGTCCATAGTAGCCAGTTTGTCATGTGAATAAAAATTAGAAAAAAAAGGTAGCAGAAGAGGAAGATGACGTAGACTTTGATAAGAAGCAATTTTGAATATAATCCTAGCCATAAGTCTTCTGAATTTGTAAAATTTTCCCAGTGCTTAGAACTATAAAATTAAGGCAAAATATGAAACTCCTAGAGTACCTGTGGGCACCAATGCAGCACCCCGAAAATACGAGAGTGAAGACTTTTCGCTTTCTTTATTTTTCACGATCTTTTGCAAATTTTAAACTATGCTTAGTTCTTGTAAAATTTCACAAAGTGCCAAAAATAACGCAAACTGCAAAAGCCTCCAAAAAAGAAACATTTGCCTAGACAACAAATTGCACAAGCCGCTACGGCCAGATGTGGCCGTTGCATTCGGCTCGTTCAGCAGACATACAGCAAACGGGTCGCGAGTTTTTGTCGAAGACGTTATGGCTGAAGCGAAACATCTGGATTTTAACGGCGCCCCGCTTGCACGCTGGTTGTACTAGCCTAGTCGTATTACGTCTTTCAGCGCTTAGATTTTTGAAGCGCAAAAGAGAAAACGCACAGAACAGCTCGGCAATACGATTAACGCCA